GGTTTTGGTTACATCTCCTTTATAATAAATAAACCCTCGTACATATTTACAAAAATAACCATGTACTGAACCACGAGGCTGCGCCCTTGCACCCCCAACCCACATAATCGTAACCCCCACTACGAGACTTTCTTTGTAAGGATAGATGATGTTCGCTTCGCTTACTCCGCTCCATCCTCTGTCTTCTTTATCGGTATATTTATGAGCCATACCTAACAAATCTCCACCTTGGCGAATATCCTGTCCCTTACGAAACATTGAATGTGGGTTGGGTTACCTTACTTTTTTAATAACTCGAAACATTCAACAAGTCCAAGCAATGCATGAACTTGTCTTTCGTAACTGGCTTGGTGAACATATTAGCGATATTCTCATCATTATGTACCTTCTGAAACAAAATCTCTTCAGATGAAACCAACTCTCTGATCTTGTGAAACCTCACATCAATGTGCTTAGTTCTAGCACGATATACCTGGTTCTTAGCCAGGTGAATAGTACTTTGATTGTCACAAAGCATCTGAACTCCACCTTACTGAACACCCAACTCCTTCACTAAATAAGTAATCCATAAAGCTTCTTTTGCAGTTTCAGCCACTACCATGTATTTAGCTTCAGTTGTAGATAATGCCATAACAGATTGAATAGTAGACTTCTAATAAATAGGCCCTCCACCAAGAGTAAAGACATACCCTATCGTAGATCTTCTATTATCCAAATCACCCGCATAGTCTGAATCCACATATCCTACAACCAAAAGATTATCCCGCTAACTACAAAAACAATTCCATATCCCACAGTACCCTTTAAGTACCTAACAATCCACTTGATTACTTCCTAATGTTGCTTACCAGGTTTAGACATGTACTTACAAACTTGACTAACAACATGAGCTAAATAAGGACGAGTACATACCATTGCATACATCAAGCAACCAACAATATTAGAATACAGAACCTTTTCCGTATCTCCAGCTTCCGTATCTGTCTTAGGGCATTGTTCTGATGAGAGCTTAAAGTGATTCGCCAATGGAGCGCTAACTGGTTTTGCGCTGCTCATCGCAGACCTTTCTAGCATTTTCTCATCATAACCCCGTTGAGATAGCCACAATTTCCTTGAGTCTATGTCCCTGCAAATTTCCATTCCAAGAATTTTCTTTGCAACACCTAAATCTTTCATATCAAATTCCTGACTCAATAAAGTTTTCAAACCGATAACATCATCCATGTTCTTCGCATCAATTAACATATCATCAACATACAGTAACAGAAAAATAAAAGAACCATCATCAAGGCTCTTAACATAGATACAACAATCATACTCACACCGCTTGTAGCCAATCTTGATCATATAGGAGTCAAACCGTTTGTACCATTGTCTCGGAGACTGTTTCAACCCGTACAAAGATTTCTTCAATCTGCAAACTAAATGCTCATTTCTAGGTTGAGTGAAACCTTCAGGCTGCTGAATGTAGATCTGCTCCTCTAAATCACCATGCAAAAAAACCAGCTTTAACATCCATATGCTCTAAATGAAAATCCCAACTAGCCACCAATGCAAGTATTGCTCGGATTGAAGTGTGCCTGACCACAGGAGAAAAAATTTCATCATAATCAACTCCTTTATGCTGTGAAAAGCCCTTTGCTACCAAACGAGCCTTGAACTTCTCCCCCTCTTTTTCTATTACTGCTGGTTTCTTCTTATACACCCATTTGAAACAAATAGGCTTCTTACCCTCAGGAAGGCGAACTAACTCCCATGTACGATTGTGATTCAATGACTTTATCTCCTCAACCATGGAAACCATCCACTTGTCGTTTTCCTGACTAGTAACAGTATCATGAAAAGTAACCGGATCATCACTGCTAACAGTAAGTGCAAAAGAGACCAAGTCTTCAAAACCCAATCTATTCAGAGGCTTTATGTTCGTCTATCTCATCCTGTCTCTGGCGAGACTATAATCATGCAAATCAACTGTAGAGGAACCACCAGAAGTCAGTTGAGAAGTTTTTGTTTTCTCAACTGGAAATTGCTCGAAATCCACCATTGTCGTGTATTTCTTCTGCTGCAGCATGGGCTATTCATAAAAAAACATCTCTACTGATCACAATTTTCTTCGCAACTGGATCCTAGAACTTGAATCCTTTGACACCTGTCTTGTAACCCAGAAAAAGGCACTCCTTCGATTTTGCATCAAGTTTGGATCTCTCATCAGCAGGTACATGCACATAAGCAGGACAACCAAAATCCGTAAGTGATCAAAAGTAACATCATGACTAGTTCATACCTCTTCTGCAACTTTCCCAGCCAATGATGCCCTTGACGATCTATTGATAAGATAACACACCATGTTAACAGCCTCAGCCCAGAAGTGTTTGGGAAGCCTCGTATTCAACCGCAAACATCTAGCTCTTTCATTCAATGACATGTTCATCCGTTCCGCAACACCATTGTGTTGTGGTGTCTTGTACACTGTAAAATGTCTCTTAATCCCATGCTCCTTACAGAAATTTAGAAACTGTGAATCTGTGTACTCCGTACCATTGTCAAACCGCAAAAACTTAATTTTTCGTCCTGTTTGGTTTTCTACCTCAGTTTCCACAGCTTGAACTTCTCAAAAATGTTAGACTTCTATTTCAAAAAATACACCTAAACTTTCCGTGAAAGATCGTCAATAAAAGTAACATAATACCTATATCCACCCAAAGACGATGTTGTGGAAGGCCCCCATACATCAAAATGCACATAATCAAGAATCTCTTCAGTTGTGTGCTTCCCAGTCTTGAAACAAACTTTAGTCTGTTTACCAAGAACACAATACTTGCAAAAATCAAGCTTACAACTTTTAACACCATGCAACATATTTCTTTTATGTAATTCAGCCATACCACGTTCACTAAGATGAGTAAGACACATATGCCATAGTTTGGTAGTATCATCACATGACTCAATAGAATGAACTCCACCTACAACGGTACTCCCTAACAATCTGTAAATATTCCCTGCAGTCATATTTCCTTTCATCATAATCAAAGCTCCTTTAATAATCTGAATGGTTTCCCTATCCTCATAATCCTTAGGGATAAAACCATTCTTGTGCAAAGTGCCCAAAGAAGTCAAATTCTTCTTCAAATCTGGGAAATACCGAACACCACACAACATCCGAACAGAACCATCATACATCTTAATTTTGACATCACCAATACCAACAATATTGAAACATCTATCATCACCCAAATAAACAGAACCATAATTAACATACCTGTATGTCGAAAACCATTCCATATTTGGCGTGATGTGATAAGAACATCCAGAATCAAGAATCCAGGCATCCATCAGTTGATTCATTGAAATAGAGAGCATATCACCCTCACTGCAATCAGAATTATCATCCTCGACAACATTCACTGACTTAGATGATTCATCACGCTTCTCATCAGTATGGTTTTTCAACTTCGGAAAGTCTTGTTTCATATGTCTCGCCTCCTTGCACTTGTAATAGTGAATTGTTTTCTTATCCCTAGATTTGGATATGAAATTTTTCTTCCCAGACCCTGCCTTCCGTCCACGGTCTCGATTACCCTTGACATATAAGCTGTCAGCTTGAGAGCTTTCCCATGCATTCTGCTTCCGCTGGTTGTGAGCCAATAAGGCTACAGTAATCTCCTCAAATTTGATAGTCTCTTTCTCATATGTAAGAGTAGTCACCATGTGTTCGTAAAAGGGAGGCAACGAACACAACAGAATTATCGCTTTGTCTTCATCCTCAATTTTCACATCAATCCGAGCCAAACCATAAACGATTTGATTGAAGACATTCACGTGTTGCGCCAAATCATGATCGTCCTGCATCTTCAGCTCATATAGCCGCTGTTTTAGATACAGTTTAGTCGTTAAGGATTTGGACATAAACTAACTTTCCAACTTCTTCCAAATTTCATCCGGAGATGACAGATGCATGACGTGATACATGACCTCGTCCGCCAAACATAATCGTATGGTTTCTGCCGCTCGCTGCTGCAATTCTTCCCAATCTTCCTCATCCATTGACGCCGGCTTTGTAGGTTGCAAAGCCTTCAGGTTCCCTTGCTGCGCCAACAGATCCTTTACCCTTGTTTGTCATAATCCGAAGTTACCCTAACCATTGAATTTCGCAACTTCGAATTTAGTTACTGACATATGATACCAATTGTTGAAAAATTGGGTAAAAAATGGAAAGAACACAAGAATTTTAACGAGGCTCAACAATGTGCTTACGTCCTCGGTGCCCTGGGCAGCGTTAGAATTTTTATTCAATGTCTCATAGGTTTCGGTTATATCTCCTTTATAATAAATAATCCCTGGTACATATTTACAAAAATAACCATGTATCGTACTACAGGGCTGCGCCCCCGACACCCCCAACCCACATAATCGTAATCCCCACTACGATACTTTCTTTTTAAGGACAGATGATGTTTGTTTCGCTCCCTCCGCTCCATCCTCTGTCCTCTTTACCGGTATATTTATAAGTCATACCTAACAATCATACTATTAAATTTTAAGAAAAATTTAAATTATTTATGAATAATTACAAGTAGATATAATATAAGAGCAGAAATGCCTATGAAATCTTTGACAAAAACATAAACAAGAAAATAATTAAACAGGGTAAAATATATATAATAAAAATAAAATAATCACATCATCAAAATTAAACTTGTGATGATCACTTATATAAAAATTGTTAATGTTATTATTCATTAATTATCATGTTAGAAGATTTAATGATTAATATCGGTCAAACAGTATATCAAGTTAAATTTCAGGATTGGTGGGTTCAATTGAAGTTGTAAGGAATATAATTGATTTTTTTTTTGTAATAGTTTGAGGCTATCTGAATTATTTTTTAAAGAATTTTATTAATATATTAGTTGTATAAAGAAATAACCAAAGAGCCTGCCAAGGAGAATGGTGGTAAATCAGAAATTAAGAACAAAATTGAATATAGGATGATAAACTACCTTCTTCTGTCTGGCTTGTGAGAGAGCTCTGTCAAGCTGTTTCTCAATCTTATAAAGCTCTTTTATAGTAAGTGAGTCAAGCTCTTCTCCAAGAAGATGCCTTCACATGTACATTTTATATCATCCAATAATCAATGCCCATCAACACAATTACTAATACAGGCTATAATAAAGTATATTATAATTTTGGAAATGGCATTTATAAAGGATAATAAAGGAAATTAATTTAGTGTTAAATTATAAATTGTTCTTTCATTTTCTAAAGAAAGTATATTTTGATATCCTGGTTGGTCCATATAAGTACGATAATAATACGTGCGCGAGCACAACTGCACATGCATGTGAATTAAGTAGGACAAAATGAAAATAGAAGCATTGATTTATTTATTTAATTTCGATATAAAATTACCTTTGAGACCGCTGCAAAGATTCATATATTGCCTTTAACCTCGATACCTCTTGGGACAGAGTCTGTATTGTTGACCAATAAATCATGTACTAAATTAAGAAATATGTCATACAAGGAAATAAAGATTACTGTAAGTAGTTCGAACTTTTTTTTAATTGGCCAAACATTTTGATATGAAAGTATAATATTTAAAGATCTCCTAAATATATATATATATTTTAAAATATCCGAACATATTAAAGTCGGATACATATTTGTATATGACATTTACATAAAAATCTAAATAACTTCAATAATAATGAAAAGACGATAAACTAATACAAATGTGTTAAAATATTTATTCATAGACTAGTACGGTGTAAGTCGAGTTCAACATCGGATAATTTCATACACTAAAAAGGAAAATCAAGCAATTGAAAAGAAATTGAAATTGAACTTGTAAACAAGTTTACCTGTGTTTCATCCGCAGGAATATCGACTGGGGAGCTGTAACGTTGCTGCCAGTATTTTTCCAGAGTTTCAGCCACACTGCTGAAGAAAGAACCAGGAAAGGTGTAAAAAGCTAAAAATCGCGATTTAATTAATATGCATTGTAATAAGAAAACGATACACGTATTATTGCATGTATAAATGGTTTAGTGTGGGAAAAGTTCACTAATTAAAGTGCTTATATATATATGAATCCCTTAAACTATACAACTTATTCAAATAAGTTCAAGTAGTTTTCTTTTAATCCAAATCAAACCCTATTATGAGGTTAATTTAACTTCAGTACATAGAAACACTTGGTGGATAGATTCTGGCGCTACTACTCACATTAGCGTTTCTATGCATGGTTGCCTAAACTACCGAAAGCCAAATGATGGTGAAAGACACATTTTGGTGGGTGATGAAAAATCGGTAGAGGTGTAAGTAATTGGAAATTTTAGGTTGCTATTAGGAATTAATTATTATTTGGATATAAAAGACACTTTCAATGTACTATCGTTTAGGGAGAATTTGGTTTCTGTTTCTTTATTTGATAAATCTGAATATTATTGTTCATTTGGAAACAATCAATTTTGCTTTGTCTTTAAATTCAAATGTTGTCTTTAATACATATGACAACCTTTATTTACTCAATACAATTGCATCCTATAATGAAACCTTGCACCTGGATTGCGTGGTACTAAGCAAAAAATTAAATAAGGAAAATTCGACATCATTATGGCATAAGCGCTTAGGTCACATCTCAAAAGGTAGAATTGAGCGCTTAGTGTCTAATGGTATTTTAGGATCCCTTGATTTTACAGAATTTAATGTATGTGTTGATTGTATCAAGAGAACACATACCAAAACTAAGAGATTAGGTGCCAACAGATCTACAGACGTATTAGAATTAATTCATACGGATATTTGTGGGCCATTTCCTACGACATCTTGGAATGGTCAAACATACTTCATAATATTTATAGATGACTACTCACGTTATGGGTACCTATATCTCATTCATGAGAAATATTAGTCTTTGGACGTGTTCAAAGCTTATAAAGTTGAAGTTGAGAATCAACACAAGAAAAGAATTAAGAAAGTCAGATCTGATCATGTTGGTGAGTAGTACGGTAGATATAGTTGCTTAGGTGAACAACGTCCAAGACCGTTTGCTAAATTCCTAAAGGAATGTGGTATTATCACATAGTACACCATGTTAGGATCACCTAGTTTGAATAGTGTAGCTGAGAGATGTAATATGTCTCTTAAGGATATGGTAAGGAGTATGATTGCTCATTCCACCTTACCTGAGTCTCTCTGGGGAAAAGAATTAAAGATAATAGTTTACAATCTGAATAAAGTACCCACTAAAGCAGTTTTAAAAACAGCTTATGAGCTTTGGACATGTCAAAAGCCTAGTTTAAATCATTTTCACATTTGGGGATGTCCGTATGAGGCAAGGCCTTATAGGTCACAAGAATATAAATTGGACTCCAAAATAGTGAACAACTACTTTATTTGCTATTCTGAGCGATATATGGGCTATAAATTTTATAGTCCCATAATTAAGAAAAAATTTAGACGAGAATTGCAATAGTTTTTTTACGATGTTGATTTTGGAGGGATAAATGAGGTTAAAGACATTGTTGTTGAGGAGGAATGGAATTCCAATTCAGTTCCTACTATCACTTTTGATATTGTTCGGGTTTCTATACTTATTAATCAAAAAGTGAATCCAAAACCGCAACAAGACAATGTTGAACAACTACTTATCCAAGATGAGGTAATTGTTCCAGAAGAACAAACTCAACATGTGTTATTAAGGTGATCCACGAGACAAAGGAGATATGTTATTCCGGATGATTACATTGTATTTCTTAAATAAAATGGGGATGATAATGGAATGATGGAAGATGATCCAATCAAATTTCCTCAGGCCATTGAAAGTACTAACTTTCAAAAGTGGATTGATGCCATGTAAGACGAGTATAATTCCATGCAAGACAATAAATCTTCGGAACTTGTCCCATTACTTGAAGGTGCAAAACCAGTTGGTTGCAAATATATATTTAAAACCAAGAGGGATGCAAAGGGCAATGTGGAGAGGTATAAGGCACGTCTTGTAGCTAAATGATATACTCAAAAGGAAGGCATTGACTTTACACAGACTTTTTCTCCAGTTTCACCAAAAGACTCTTTTAGGACAATCATTACACTTGTTGCTCATTTTGATCTTGAGTTACACGAAATGGTTGTTAAGACCATGTTTCTAAATGGCAACATTGAAGAAACAATTTATATAGTGCAACCGAAAAACTTTGAGCTGTGAGATCCAAAGGATATAGTTTGTAAATTAACTAAATCCATATATGGACTAAAGCAAGCTTCTCGTCAATGGTACCAAAAGTTTCATCAATTAGTTATCTCATTCGGGTTTGAGATGAATATGATTGATAGTTGTGTATATCACAAGTTCAGTGGGAGTAAGCATATATTTCTATATGTCGGTGATATTTTGCTTGCTATAAATAATGTAGGTTTATTACATGAAACCAACATATTTTTGTCTAAGCATTTTGAAATAAAAGATCTTGGTAACACTTCTTTTTTCTTAGGAATCTAGATACACCGAGATTGGTCTCAGGGTATTCTTGGATTGTCACCAAAGAAATACATCGATAAAGTACTTACAAGGTTTGACATGCAAAATAGTAAATCAACTAACACCCATGTTGCTAAAGGAGACAAATTTAGTCTTGCTCAATGTCCTAAAACCGACCGTGAAATTCAAAAAATGCAAAAGATTCCTTATACTTCAGCTGTTGGGAGTTTGATGTATGCTCAAGTATGTATGCGTCCAGATATTGCATACATTGTTGGGATGTTAGGCAGATACTCAAGCAACCCTGATATGAACCATTAGATAGCAACCGAGAGGGTTATGAAGCATCTTCAAAGAACAAAAGATTACATGCTCACTTACAAGAGATCATATCATTTGGATGTCATCGGGTATTTTGATTATGATTTTGCTGGATGCTAAGATAGTAGAAAATCCACTTCAAGCTATATTTATATGCTAGTTTGAGGAGCTATATCTTAGAAAAATTCCAAACAAACATTTGTATATTTTTCCACTATGGCGATTGAGTTTGTACCATGCTATGAAACATCAAACCATAGAATATGACTGCAAAATTTTGTCACTAGACAACATATTTTGGAGAATGTTGAAAGACCACTTAAATTATTTTGTGACAATAAGTTAGTAGTTCTATATTACAACAATAATAGGAGCTCGTCTAAGTCAAAACATATTGACATAAAGTTCCTAGCTGTGAAAGAGAGTGCAAAATGGACAAATATCCATTGAACACATTGGAACAAGCTCCATGATAGTGGATATGCTCACAAAAGGTTTAGTAACTAAGGTATTTCATGAGCAAATTGCTCATATGAGTGTTATATCACTTGATGATATCATTGTTTGAGTGGGAGTTTTGTTTACTTATGTTAGTTTTTAGTCATTTATGTATTTGATTATTTTCTGATCAGAAATAAAATATTCAGTTTATTCACTCTGACCTCACTTCTGTTTAAAGAGGACTAATTGGAAATAGACATGTGTGGTTCACATTGCATGTAATTTCCATGCTACGCTCCATGATTGATCTATGCCATTTGACTGTGTTTATATACGTGACTATAAATGGGTATAGTCATGATAGATATGACAAAGGTTGCTTTGATCATATATGAATATAGTTAATGGATGAGATTGTCATAGAATACCTATTACATGATAACAAATTTTGAGCTCATAAGGTTATACATTTATTAGGAAACATAAGTTGCCCAAGTGAGAGATTATTGGATTAAAATCCATAATTATGGGCACATATTTATAATCTATATTGTTATCATAAAATATGTATTAATTGAGTGACCAGTTATGTTATATAGTCTTATATTGATATAAGAAGTATCATGGAAATAAAAGTGTAGATACTATTAAAGTTGTATTTATAATTTGATGAGGGACAGAGTTATAAGTGTAGACAAAAACTGATTCAATCAGTTATATAAAGGGGTTATGGTCCCCAAGAAATAGATATATCATATTTTCTCTTATCCCGTCAGAGAGTTTATATTCAAAGGAATTCTGATTTCTTGGAAGATCACAACTGGAAGGCAATCTTCAAGTTCTCAACCTTCTAGGTAATCTTCAACAATGGATTCAGGTATGCTACCACAAATCTAGTATTTATTTTGTTCTAGATGATTTGGCATAATTAGATTTTAGTTTGATTTCATATTTATTTATGGTTTGGCTCTAACACTTTTGAGAATTGCTGATGTGTTTGAGTAGTTTAAAGATGCCTCAATATTTTTCAAGTTAGATCTTCATTCTGGTTATTATCAGGCGAAGGTGAAAAATTTCACTTTCTAAAAGTTGCGTTTAGGACTCACTCTGAAAACTATGAGTTCTTAGTTATGTCATTCAAACTTACAAATGCCCTAACTACCTTTATAGATCTGATGAATCAAGTGTTGCAACCCTATCTTGACCATTTTTTGGTTTTCTTCATCTATGAAAGACCCGTGTAATCCAAAATCGAGGGTGATCATGATAACCATCTCCAAATTATTTTCCAAACTTTTCAAGAGAAGCAATTCTTTACAAAGCTATATAAATGAGAATTATGGTTATTTGAAATATATTTTTGAGACATGTTTTATGTTACGTTAGAATTCAAGTAGACCATAAAAATATCCCTTGAACCATTGATTGGAATCTCCTAAGAATGTCAATGAAGTTAAAAAATTCTTAGGTTTGATTCGGTTATTATAAGAGATTCGTCAAAAAAAAAATCTATGCAATTGCTCTATTGACCTAGTTTCTCTATAAAGGTGTAACCTTTAGTTAGACCCAAAAATAACAACAAAAAAAAGTTTGATAATTCAAAGTTCATTTTGATGAATGCCCCTATCCTCATCCAACCCATATCGGGTAAGGACTTAATTGTTTTGAGTGATACACCACACAATGAATTAGACCATGTTTTAATGCATTATGAAAAAATTATGGCTTATAGTCCTTGATAGCTTAAATTATACGAGATGAACTATCTGACTCAGGATATCGCTTGAAATAGTACTATTTTTTCTGAAAATTTATAAGTATTAATTGCATGGACAAAGATACAATCTGTTAAAAACATTATAAAAATCTAATGTACATTTTAACTTAGAAAGAGTTAAATCTCTAACAAATGTGTTCTATCAAACTTCTAAAAGATTAAAATCTTATAATCGATTACCATCCGAGCAAAGAAACTGATATGATTGATGCACTAAGTTGAAACCCATATTTAATAAAGGCTTAGTTCCCAAATAAGTGCTCAAACTATTTCTTTTGTGCCAGATAAATTCCTATGGTTTTTTTCCCATCCGAGTGTCTAACATTACAATCGTTAACCTTTTAGGTGCCCATGTCGTCAACGCTGTTAGTTTTCCCCGTTAAGTAACACGTGTTAGCACCTGATAATTTATATAAAATTTTAAAAAAATAAAATTATATATATATTTTAAAAAAACATAAATTTTGAATCAACCCCTAAACCCACATTGATCGTCACCCTTTACCGTCAAAGAAGCTCCCCGGGCCTCGCGAAAATAACCCCTATGAAATCGTAATTGGTTGACGGTCAATCAACCACAAATTGATTTTTAAATCTCACAAACCCTATGACGAAAATTGTGATCCCACAAGATTTCGATGGTGAATTGGCAACAACTACAACGGCATATAATTAGGATGATATCAAGGACTGTCGGTGACGACGGTGGTGACCAGAGAAGGCGCCTACGACGGATTAAGGTTATGATTTAGTAATTTGGGGTTATTTTATAATAAAAGAAAAGTTAGGGTTTTTTATAAATATAAAAATATTTTTAATATTTTTATAAAAATAAATTTTAAAATTACCAGGTGTTGACATGTGACACTTAATGGGAAAAACTAACGGCGTTGACGACCTGGGCACCTAAAAGGGTAACATTTGTAATGTTAGGCAATTGGATGCGTAAAAAAAACCGTAAGCACTTATTTGACAAAAAAGGCATAGTTTGGGCACATATTTGGGCATTAAGCCTTTAATAAATATTAAAATCCCTTTGATGAATTCTATTTGTATTCCAAACTCTTTTTATAAAAAAAATTCTTTTTTCTTTTTTAGCTTTGATAGCTATAACTGCTTATTTCTGATTTCAAAAGAATGGGAGCCTTCTAGCTAAAATTCAAGTATGATCTTTTTTTTCAACGTATCCATGAACTTTAATCTTCTGATGATAAGTTAAATGTCATTTGTGACCAAATGGGAAATCACTGTGAACCTGAGTTCTCTATGAATTCTAAAGATTGCCTGTGCTTTTTGTAAGAGACTATGTCCTTGAAAATTTTGATCTGAAGTTGGATATTCTTCAAAAAGCTCACAGTAGCTCAATTTCAGTACACCTAGGATCAGTGAAAATGTATATAGATCTCCAAGAGTACTATTAGTGGCCATTTCTAAATGTTTGACTTGTCAATTAGTCCAAGTTGAGATTGGAATTGATTTTAGAAAGGGGAATATAAGATAATGTGGATCGTGGTTGAATGTATATAATGATAATTGATTATCTATTTTAAGAATGCAAAGTTTCCATTTACAATGTATTTATGCACCTAAAGTCTTCGTTTGATTATCTTTCTTTGTTCCAAAATGAATATGTGACCGGTTACTTTATGGGATGAAATCTACAACATTTAAAAATAGAAAGAAAAAAAGACTTGCTACTCAAGTCGATGCATATATATATATATATATATATATATATATTCAAGGGATTTTATTGTATTATTTGAGAGAGAACTTTATTACTTTACACAAATTAATTTATTTGAGAAACATTGTAAGTGTTCTATTGAGATTTTTTTTAACTTTATTTTTACAAGTGTTAAGAAGTTAGTGAGGATTATTTAAGGGATAGAATAATTAGATTGAGGAAACGCTTACAACTAGCGTGCATAATTAGATCGAGGATTTAAGTCTCTTGTATTGAGAATATTATAGTAGAATTCTCTCTAAGAAAGGTTATATAGCGGTAAGATTATTGATCAATCTGAAATATGTAGATAAAATCTCTTATATTATTGTTTATATTTTGATTTTTCTAGTTGTTCATCCAGTACTACTGACTCAAGTATTGTTCGGCAAAACTATACCAACAATGATGGTAATCACTCGAATGATGTCAATTCTTCGCAAGAGCTTAGATTTTGGTCTATTAAGTAAGCCTGCAAGTTGAGTAACAATACTTTGGAGTGCAATTGTTATACTATTGGTTTTTATTATCAAATATTTAATGTTAATTATAAATTATTAACCAAATTAGTTTACCTAAAGTAAAATCTAATTTCGTTATTCAATTGGTATTTTTATTGTATGAGACAATTTTTTATTATTTCTAACATTGGTTTGGCGGTGGTTCTGCCTGTTAGTTTAGTTGGCAATACTTATGTTCTTGTCTCGATTCCCTGTTGAACCTGGTGATTGCCTCGGACTTGAAACTTTGCTGGGCTAATAAAACATTGTACAAAAAATATATTGGCTTTTCTGCGAAAGAATCACATTCATTTTACAAAATGTATCGAGGTTTTTATAAAATAAAATTCAATAATTTCTTTGAAATAAATTTAGTCGAGAAACTTTTCCGATAGAGTTTGATTTTAGTTGAAATTTATTTTAATGAAAATTCTTTACCATTGTATTAGACGAGCTTGGTTGAGAGCATGAAATATTGGTTGATTAATTTAATTTGTTGAGAATATATTTGATAAACCATTAAAATTTTAAATTTTGAATGATTTTTAATTTACTTTTCCAGTGGACAATATTTCAATTTTGAAATTAGTTAAATATAAAAAATGTCTTAAAATTCAAATGTTGATGGATTTAAACATTCTGTTAAAATATTATTTAATTATTTTAAACATATATTTTATATATTTGTTTTTAGTTTTAATTTTTTTTATTAATGTGAGTTACTTTAAAGAATCCAATTAGAATTGTCGATGTTTTTCAATTTCTTTTTCTATGTACCCATACCTCAAATTTGAAGCTAATATACTTGGTTGAAAAAAGTGCTAAAAAGAAATTTAATTATTTTATTAGGAATATTATTTAATCATTTTTAACCTTATCTTCTCTATATTTAATCATGTTTAGTAATACACTTATACAAAGTACTTGAAAAAACGAAAAAAAACAAAATTTTCAAAGGCGTATAAACTATTTTTATAGTAAAGATTAGGCTCTAGCTTCCTCACCCTAACCCCCACCCCACCCGGGGAACCGGGGGGGAAAGTACTGTCAGAGTACGATATATTACCACGATTTTCTTTCTTTTAGTCATGGAGAAGATATTTTTTATAAATTAAATTTACTATTTTATCTCAAAATGAATCAAAAAAATCTTGATTTTTCCTTCTTTGCCTTTACTAACAAAGGAAAACGGGGAGAGAAACTTGTTTGCCTTGAATCTTTATGAATGAAAAAGATGTTCCGAAATATGCTGAGGAACCCAGAAAAAGAAGTTAAATATGAAGTGTTAGAGAAGCACAGATTGAGAAAAGATCCGAACCCAGATAAGGAAAAGGAGAGTGCTCTTGTGGTTAATCAAGAAAATGGAAAACCCTAGAGACAGGAGTAGTAAAAATTGAGCTTCTGTTACCAAAAACACCTGTTACATGTGTAAAAACACTGAACTATTGTGAACAGAAGAAACACCAGTCACAGTTTTTGGTAATGGACAAATCTCAGGTATGGAGATTTTGTAAGATCATGGACGACAAAGAAAAAGGAAAAAAAATTAAAAAAGGTCGTCAAACTGTTGGTTGTCATCCTTCCCTCTCTATATCAGGTTATCACTTGTTGGTTTTTGGGTTTGATCATATGATATCTCTCATGGATTTTCAATAAACAATGGAAAAAACAGATGGCTGGAAACAGATCACAAGAGAAAATAAGAGAGATAGGAATCTTACGTATTACTGGCAAATTCAGAGAGTTTGCCTCGGCTAGAAAAGACGATGAGAGCAACTTCAGCATCGCAGAGGACGGAGAGCTCGTAGGCTTTCTTCAGCAAACCATTTCTTCTCTTGGAGAAGGTTACTTGGCGATTTATTTTGTTCTCTATTCTCTCCAACACCACTTTTCCTCTTCCCATCTTTGAGTGAGGCCAAGGAAGCTACCAACATACCCAAAATAATGCAAGCCTCAAAGAGATACATTTATTTACTTGTTTTGGAGTTATATTTACTGCAATGTCAATAATTCAATAGTTTTACCTAAAAACTATATTCATTTAAATGAGCTAAAATCTTCAAACTTCAATTTGAAGTAAGGGACTCATTAAGTGTTCTCGGTGGTAAAAGAGAATGTTAATCTCTCTAGAAATCCTGAATTCGAGCAACTATGTATACAAAATATATGTTGTCATTTCAAAAAATATATATGAAGCAAGAGAGCGTATGAATGGAACAATTTAGGGAATAATATGTGTCTTATATTGACTATGCACATAGTTTTATGAGATATATTTAACCAAGAGAAATGACAAAATTATTCCTAAAAAGTTATTGATAGATTTGTAACACCTTAATTAGATCCAACCTGTAATCCGAATGATTAGAATATTATATGGAACCACCGAAGTGGCTAACCATTTTTTAAATCAATAACATTGAAAATCATCCATCATCATGAAAATTATAACACTAACATAAGTTTAAAATATAAGTGCGCATTGTTAACAAAATGGGGAGCTCCCAATTGTATACGTCAAAATCTAAGAGTTTATCAAAATAGAGTTACTATTCGAATACACATAAGGTCTATGAAAATTCATGCACATTAAAATACTTGAGATGTACTATGGTGCTTGGTCAAATCTAGAATCTGTGGTCTGACAATGAGGTCGTCGAATAGGCTTCTAAGAACCTACGCACGAAAACAAATTTTGAACATTGAGCTCAAAAGATTAGTACCATACAAATAACACTATTATACTATATGTAACCACCAATGTAGGTATAATTATGGATAATAATGCATCAAGCACACAACACAAGTAAGCATCAAGGTGTAACTCGGGGTCACATATCATCGCATAACTCACACCCTTCTTTGCTTTCTAGAGGTACTCCGATAAGACCTAGGTCATGTAGCTTTAGTGTCTTACAAATAAATGGCACCCATTGCCAAGTACTTCGGAACGAGATTTGGGTCACATAGCATCAGCATCTTACTCGGGTAGTATACTCCTCTTAAGTATACAGGACGTCTCTAGATCACAGAACATCAGAGCAACATCCTAGCATCTTAAGTGCCCTTGCACTGATCGGATATGTTGGAATATTCTTTACACAACAAGAAGTTCATCATACATAAGTAACTCATATATCCTCATTGTTTCTCAAGCATCAAACAAGACATAAGTCCACATAATTATATTATTGTATCATATAATTTTTAATGTTCTCACTTGCAAGCTTCTATTAAGAGGGTTCTATCAAACCTAACCCATTTCCGAGTCACTTGATCAAAGCAAGGCTTCTAGCTTTTGCATTCATGATGATACTGATACTTAACCTTGTAGTATCGATACTACTCTTTCTTGTGGTATCGATAACGTCCTGAGTATCAATACTAAATTTACATAATGGAATTTGAGAACAACCCCCACTATCGATTCCCCTATCTGGAGTACTAATACTACCCTCTTGTGGTATCGATACTACCCCAAGTATTGGTATTAGATTAGCATTTTTGAATTTGAATTCAACCCTTAGTATCAGCACCAGGCCCTTTGTATAGATACCTTATGAATAGTATCGACACCCTATGAACATAGTATTGATACTACCTATCTAAAATCCCTAATTTTGGCCTATCAGTGAATTATATCGATACTGTTGATCCAGTACGGATACCCCAAACCCAGAATACCCTATGTTTCATGAGTAAAACACTCTTACTCACTCTTAAGGCTCTCATGAGACCCTCAAACTTTATTAAAAGCTTTTGTAGGTTCAAGGGATAATGAAATGTCATTTCTTTATGCATGAACAACAAAAAATATCACATCCATTCCATGTACACCCCAACATGCCAAATGAGCTCACAAACAACGAAACTACACATGCTAAACTACAAGTGTTATAGAAGTGTTAAGAATGCGTTAATTTACTACTAGTTGCCAGAGAAATAACCACAAGCTCACCCGAACACTAGCTTTTCCTTTCCTTTCCTTTTAGAGCCTTCAGTCACTTATTTCACTACACTAACAATCAAGATAATGAGTTACTAGCTTATCTAAAGGCTTAAGATGATTAAAACATGATTACTAAAGATTGGAAATGATTTTGAGTTATCCAAGAGCTCTAAAACTTAAAACCCCTCTAAACCCTATCATGATCAAACCTTGAAGTTGAGAGTTTGAAAAAGATCTCAAAGGGTGGAAATAACTCCTCATTCCTTCCTAAATTCAGACTAAGGGTGTTGCCTACAACATTCTCTCATTTCTCTTTCTACACTTGAGAGAGATAAAGAAGAAAGAAGATAGAAAGAAGACAACGAGTGGTGAAGAAAATAATGTCTTTTTTTCGATTACATCACCAATGTTAATTGGTTTCAGCTTTTAAAATGATTTAGGGTTTAATTACCTCCTTGGGCCCTCATCATTTGAACTCAAATAAAAATATCCTTTTTAACTCTAAATGTGCTCAAACCTAACCCAAAACAATCCCACTTAACCTAAATATTTATAAAGGGTACTTGGGTTTATCTAAAATCCTCTTAGGTCAAAATCGAAACTATTAATCTAGAAATCGGATCATTACAAGATTTGATAGATTTATTTTGTCAAGTTTAAAAGAGTGGGACATATAAGGGTAAAAAGTAAATATAAGTACCATTATTTGTTGACTTTTCTTATAAAATTTTTAATGGAAAATTTAAAAGATCAAAAGGGACACATTTAGTGGAACAGAGAAAGTTTATTATTTGCTTTAATTATTATTTGAAAGTAAAAAATAGAGATGTAAAAGATAAACACGACACATATTTCAACATATTTACCACAAATGGTGAGCAAACTAGTTTTATTGTCAAGGTTTTTGTTAATTGTTATTTTTTAATATATTTTCAGTAACTAATTTATGTAAATATTTAACTTTGATAAGGGAATGATCATATCATTGATCCATTAATTAACCATGTGAGGAGACCTCCCCTGATATTATTATTTAGTAATTAGATCAAGGTAGTGTTTTATATATATCTCGGTTGGTTGGAGGTTTCAAGCTAAATCCAACACAAATTTTGACGCTCGTAGAGAGGTGGAGACTGGAGATGCACACCTTCCATCTCTCATGTGGGGAGTGCACAATCAATCTTGAAGCACTACAGTTAGGTCTCTTAGTTGATTATTGTGTTTTGACGGGTAGGAGTTCTTTGTGCCAAAACTTGCTTGGAAAGGTCCCCAAAGATTAAAAAGGTGGTTGAATTCTCTTGACATGGTTGAACTAAAATTTTGATATACTATAGGATGATCACTCAGAAGAGAAGGAAAAGACATCTTCTTGGCACATATTTTAAAGAATGAAACATTTAGTTAGGGATCGATCATCTTAGTTTTTATTTTTATAAAAATATATAGATCTATTAATCTAAACACAAATACTTAAGGTATAAGTACTTCTGCTTTATATGGTATCGATACTCCCCAAGTATTGATACCAAATATGGCTACTCAAAGTTATAACTTAACTATGATATCGATACCCGAGGAACAATATCTATACCCTACGCACATGGTACCGATACTACCCAGCCAAAAACACCTTTTTTAGTTATTTGAAGAACAATATCTATACTCTTCATCGAGTATTGATACTCAAACCTAGAAATACTATGTTTTTACAAAAAAAAAATAACACCCAACTTCACCCCTAAGCCTTTTTAACTTTAATCATTATTTAAAACTTATGTATGCTAAGAGGATTCATAATAGGTATTTTCTCATTCTATATAACATTCAAAAACATCACAAGCCATGTTTAACTGCAAATGCACTTATATTCTCTACAAACTCATACAAGCTAACCAAACACACATAATAACTTACAAGTGGTAGAGATAAGTTAGAAGTTTGTTACCTTGTTCCTAAGTTGCTAGAAAAACTTTGTTCAACCAAGTGGTAGCTTTTCCTTGCCTTTGTTCTGGGAGCTTTCTCCAACTTCATTCACTAATTAAGAGACATGTAATGGAGTTACTAACTCACTTAAGAACCTAAAAAGAAGTTAAGAAGGTTTTTAAAGTCTCAAATTAACAAAAAAACAAGTTGATTATTACGAGTTTCTAAATCCTTCTCAAACCCTACTTGTGGTCACCATGGCTAACTAATTGGGAAAACAGCTTCAACGGAAGCTTTAAAGATGCTTATTAAGGATCTTACCTTCATTGATTTGAGCTAGTATTGTTGGTAGATAAAGCTATCACATTTGATTAAATTTCTAAAGGGAGAATATAATGTTTTGAGAGGAAGAAGAAGACAAGCATTCAGGGAGAAATAATGAAGTGAAAAAGCTTTTCTCTGCACGGTTACATTATCTTTATTAATGGTTTTTAGCTTTTAAAGTATAAAATGGGATAATCAGCTCTTTGGTCTCTCTAACTTTGTCCCCAATTGAAAAATACCTTTTTTTATCTCTATTTGGGCATAATTCAAGCCTAAACCAACTCAATTTTGGACTAAGGCATCCTACATGGGTAATAGGTTTATCCAAAACCTTTTTAAGTCAGCTCAAAGCTACTAATCGAGGATTTGAGGCGTTACGGATCTCACCTTCCAAGAATAAATTTCATCCTTTAAATTTACATGGGTAGAACAGATTTGGATACTAAAGTTCCATATCTTTCTCAACCTCCTATGTTGTCTGCTCGATAGTACTATTTCTCCACAAAACCTTCACAAGAGGAGTATTCTTGTTTATTAACTCCTTAACATCTTACCCTTATTGATTCCTATTCATAAGACATGTCTTAATTCACCTCGATCTATTCTAAGTATATGACGTGGAAAGGGTCAGAAAGGTACCTCTTAAGCATGGACATATGGAATGCATTATGAATGCACTCCCACTCTGGGGATAAAGCTAATCAGTTCAACCTTGTCAAGTAATTCATA